GCTGTATTGTTGAGGACATTTAGGCTGCAAGTGAAAGAAGCGTAAGTCAATATAGATGCTAAGTCCAGCTACAAGAAAATAGTTGGGGAAATTTACTGGTTCACATCATTGAAGAGTGTGAATGAAATGTTCTTCAGCCACATGTGGAAACAGGTTCTTAGACACCAGGCATCAGCCTGGAAAACAACTTTTCTGGCTGGGCACCGTGGCTCACGCCTGTAATCCCAACACTTTGAGAGTCTGAGGCAGGTGGATCACTTGAGGTCAGGAGTTGGTGACCAGCCTGGCCAACATGGTGAAACCCCAACTCTACTGGAAATACAAAAATTAGCCAGGCATGCTGCCATGCACCTGTAATCCCAGCTCCTTGGGAGGCTGAGGCAGAATTGCTTGAACCCAGGAGGTGGAGGTTGCAGTGAGCCAAGATCACTCCACTGCACTCCAGCCTGGGCGACAGAGTGAGACTCTGTCTAAAACAAACAAATAAACAAACAACATACACAGACATGACCTTCCTGGAGCCAGAGCTGATAAACATGGCTCCATTACTACGCTCTTATGATGTGACTGCATTTCATACTATAGGCACTTGGCACCAGTGTATGAATTAACTTGTATTTGAGAATGTTAGGAACAGGACTTCTCCATTCAAAGGATGACTTAAAGCAGGGATGTGGATCTAGGGGTCTTTGCAAGCTTATCACCCAAGTGATTGCAGACCCTTGAAATGATCACCAATTTTTTTTGAAACATAGCATGACATAACAGTAATTAGTGTACTTTTTTTTTGCTATAATAACTGCTCAATGAAACTTTAGAAATTTCCTATGTATAACTATTTGCATGTTTAAATGTTATTCCCCACAAGGACTCTTACTTTTTGAAACTTCAGAATTTGCCGTTCTGAGCTGCTGCTGTTTAATTTCAGGCAGTATCTCACCTCCAGCAAAAATTACTAAATCTTTTTTTTTGAGACAGTCTCACTCTGTGCATCAGGCTGGAGTGCAGTGGCACGATCTCAGCTCACTGCAACCTCTGCTTCCTGGATTCAAACAGTTCTACCTTAGCTTCCTGAGTAGCTGGGACTACAGAGGCACGCTGCCACACCTGGCTAATTTTTGTATTTTTAGTAAAGACAGGTTTTTGCCATGTTGGTCAGGCTGGTATGGAACTCCTGACCTCAGGTGAGCTGCCTGCCTCGGCCTTCCAAAGTGCTGGGATTATAGGCATGAGCCACTGGGCCCAGCCCTAAATCTAATCAATACAGTTTTGCTTCATTGTGTCTACATGTAGAGGGCCTTTGTAGGTGGACAGTGAGTGGTCAGTAAATGCTCAGTACACAGATTCTTTACGGGAATAATCTTGTTCAGGCCTTTTCCTAAAAGGAACAACAAGTACTATGAAGAAAACAAAACAAGGAAGTTTATATAAATAAAAAATACTAGGAAGTTCCTGAGGAAGCCACTTTAGATTAGCTGGACACAGAACATTCTGTTGAGGAGGTGATACTTGCAAGACATGAATGGCACAAAAAGAAGGAGCAACACAAAGATGTTAATATTCTAGGCAGAAGGAAGAGCAAGTGCAAAGACCCAAGACAAGAATAAACCCAGTCTTTGAAGATTAGAAACGCTTGCGTGGCTGACATAGAGTGGGTGATAGAGGGAGGAATGAGAGGTGGTAACTGAGAGGCAGGCCAACAGGCACATCACCAACACGAGCAGAGACTCCCACAGTCGCCATTGCCTCTTTAAGTCCTACACGACAAGGCAGAAGGCATTCTAAGCCCATGAATATTGATGTTGGCCAAGGCATAGGCAAGGAAACGAGACCCAAATTCAGAACAAGTGCCTAGTCCCACAAAAACCAATCATCTCTTCCTCCAATATGGAAGAAGCCCATTGAAATGAACTAGCTGCAATGAGGTTACTGGGCTTAGATGTGTGTTTTCTGTTGGGATCTTCCAGAAGCAGACGCTGAGACAAAGACTTGTTCTCGGAAGGTGATCTCAGTAATCATCTGACTACTTTGTTCTCAATCTTGGATTATAGATCCAAGCCTCAAGGTTCACTGGCCAAGCTGTTCCCAAAACTTTTACATGAATCTTCAATGTTGCTTTTTTCAGTCTCTGACCATCTAGCCAGTGACTGGTTATGGTTACAGATCTTCACCTCAGATCATGTTTCCTTCAAGTCAAAGAAGTACATGATAAAAGGCAGTGCTTGGAATTCTGCCTACAAATTGAGATCTGCCCTCTACTGTGCCTCAAGACCACCCCAAATACACACAGTACATTTCTAGCTGATATTGCATATTATTCATGGTATCTATAAGCCAGGTTTGGCACTTTTTGTTCTCAGTTAATTGGACAATAATTCTCCACAAGGGTAAAGGGACAGATTGGTAGGGGCAAGGTGTGGCAATAGAGTCGTTAAAGGCAGAGTGGGGAGAAATCTGTTCATACAAACAAAATGTATTCTCATGGTCTGGTCTGTCTGGTCCCATCTGCTAGGTGATGACGTGCCACTGGAAATGGTCAACTTTATGAGCAGGTGGATTAAATAGCACCTGGTGTCCCATAGTCTCCAACATCCACCGTAGCAAATTAGAACTGTTTCTCAAAAGGGAGAATAGTAATCTTCCAGAAGGGGGTCTGACATTGCTCCAAAGTCCTGTGGGCTTCCACTGTGATTCTCCTGGAGAAATTTGTCTCTAACTTCAGTTAAGTCTCCAAATCAGCTGGATACTTTGAGAGGGCTGAGCAGCAGAGTTGCTTGGACTGCAGACCGGGACACATACAGGGACTGTTTTTGCTCTGCCAGCTTTTCAGGTCGCCAGGTAAATAAATTAAGTGCAAAACATCTGTGTATTTTATGCTATCTTGAAAATCCAGGGCTCAAAAAGCCAAAACAGCACACTGAATACAGTTATCTTTGAAGGCACTGAATTCAACGTGATCCAGCTAAGTAAGGGATAATCAGGGGACTGGGCTGAGATAGATTAGTGTCTTATGACTGAGGAAGAGTTTCAAAAGAACTGTTTTTTTTGTGTTTCTTTAGCTTGGTAGTTCAAAACATTGGCTGCAAAATGGAAACTACAAGGTGGGTGCAGGGAGAGGTTTTAAAAATTACTGATGCCTGGATCCTACCCTCAGAGATGCTGGTCTAATTGCCTGGGCTTCTGGATTATGAAAAAGCTAGGCTGGGAGTGCTGGCTCATGCCTGTAATCCCAGCACTTTAAGAGGCTGAGGCAGGTGGATCACGAGGTCAGGAGATCAAGACCATCCTGGCCAACATGGTGAAACCCTGTCTCTACTAAAATACAAAAAACTAGCTGGCATGGTGGTGTGCACCTGTAATCCCAGCTACTCAGGAGACTGAGGCAGGGGAATTACTTGAACCTGGGAGGTAGAGGTTGCAGTGAGTGAAGATTACGCCACTGCACTCTAGCCTGGTGACAGAATGAGACTCCCTCTCAAACAAAAAAGCTAATATGCAGCCAAGGGCGAGGACCATTGCTCTAGTTCCTTCTAGATGTCCCTATACCAACACCCAGGGTCCCACTCTATCCCTTAAACAGTTTCCCTTATAAACCAAAAGGTATCTGAGACAGGTCGCAATCCATTTAGAAAGTTTATTTTGCTGAGGTTAAGGATGTGCCTGTGACACAGCCTCAGGAGGTCCTGACAACATGTGCCCAAAGTGGTCAGGGCACAGCTTGCTTTTACACATTTTAGGGAGACGTGAGACATCCATCAGTATGTGTCAGCTGTACACTGGTTCTGTCAGGTAAGATAGGACAACCTGAGGCGGGAACTTCCAGGTCATAAGTAGATAACAGACAAAAGGTTGCATTCTTTTGAGTCCTTGATCAGCGTTCCACTGAATACACAATTTAGTCTGGCTCAGTGAATCTGGATCTTTACATTAACAATAGGGCAGAAGAAGCAATCGGATATGCATTTGTCTCCGGTAAGACTCAGAGATGACTTTGAGTTTTGTCTGTCCTTTGTCCAGGAGGAATTTCAAGGAGGGAGATACATAACTTTTTATCTTCGTAGCTGTTCATAGCTTATTTAGGGATAAAATGGGAGGCAGGTTTGCTTGACATAGTTCCCAGCTTGACTTTTCCCTTGGCTCAGTAATTTTGGGGTCCCAAGATTTATTTTCCTTTCACACACTCGATGCCTTGAGTTGAGATTTCAGAATCAAGGTTTATTCTCTCTTAAGTCATTCAGTACCCTTGGAAACAACCACCTGACTCCACATTGCTATGAAATTGTTCCATGGTGGCTGCTAACCAGTGTCCGAGGGCGTTATCCTCAGGGGGCTCGTGGATCCTGGTGACTAAAGACAGCCTGATAAGCTCTTTGGTCACTGGAGCTGTGAGCTTTCCATCCAGAACACAGAGGGATGTGGCAGCACCTTTCATGCTACCCAGACACAACCACCAATTCCAAAGATCTCACATTTCCTTGAAAGCCTTTTGCCTACCTCTGGTACCAATCCTGATATTAAAGTTTTTTTTTGTTTGTTTTTTGTTTTTTCCCATTGGTAAGCAACAAGAAAAAAAACTGTGACCCTAGTTAGCTTAAAGAACTAAGAATATATTGGAACAGAGCCTAGGATAGTTTACAGTTTTAAATGAACCGTTAAAGAATGACTCAGAAAATAGGATATCTCTGACAACCTCCTTAGAGAGCTTCAGTAAAAGCCACCCAGTCGTGATGACTTTCAGCCTTTGTGTCTCTCCATTCAAGTTCCAAATTCCCATGAGAAAATCTGGATTTGCTTGGCTTGGTTTAGGTCTTCCCAAATAAACTATGGTAGTCAGGTAGGGTCCCAAAGCACAAACATGACCCCAGAGGCTGTTTCCAGAAAAGGGAACTGTGAACCAGGCAGCTACCCCAATACAAGTCTACTTCAATCACCACGTTTGTAAGCACGTGTTTTGCAACTGGAAAACAACAAAGTGAAGGGCAAAAAGGCACGAAAGACACTGTTCAGTCAAACAATTTTAATCTAGTTAATGGTAAACAGTACAAGTGTAATTACATGGAAAGCTCCATATTTTGCATGTTTACACTGTTCTTTGTCTTTACTTGTAAGGTGTTGAAGGTGGGATCCACTCCTGAATCTTCTTTCTAGTGGTGGAATAAGGTACATATTGTTCTGGGGTGCCAGTCACGTTGAATTTATGGGTTGTCCAAATGAATTTACGAGGAGTAGGTGGTTTTACTGTTGGAGGATCATCAGTCATACTGTGAAGCCAACGATGCCTTAAAGAGGGGGAAAAAACCCAAACAGTTATGAAGAGGCAAAACAGCACAGTGGAAGGAGGGTTAAAAAAAGTTGCCCTGGAACTATTCTGTTGCTTGGGTTCAAGCCTCAGGGCCATCACTTACTAGCTGAATTTTTCTATGCCTTAGTTTTTTTCCATCTGAATATCCCTATTCCTCAGGGATGGTACAAAGATAGAAGGAGACAATACATGTAAAGCACATAGAAAAATTCTTATGTGTGGCAGGTACTCAACAAATGTTAGCTACTGTTCTCATTACTGCATTTTTTTCTTCATTTTCTTTCATTCATTCTTTTTTTTTTTTTTTGGAGACAGGGTCTCACTCTTTCACCCAGGCTGGAATGCAGAAGCACAATCATGGCTCACTACAGCCTCGAACTCCTGGGCTCATGTGATCTTCCTACCTCAGCCTTCTATGTAGCTGGGACTACAAGAGCATGCCACCATACCTGGCTAACTTTTAGAACATTTTTGTAGAAATGAGGTCTTACTATGCTTCCCAGGTCGATCTCGAACTTCCGAGTTCAACAGATCTTCCTGCTTCATGAGCCACCATGCCTGGCCTATTACTGTATTTTATCAAATCTGACATCATCCATTTTCAGACATGCCATTATTTTATCTCCCTCTAAGAAAGAAAAGATGCTACCAAATGAATTATGGCACACTACTGATTATAATATGTATTCCAATTTTAGATGTAAAAATGTATTTTAGAATTGATAAAATACAGTATTACTATTAGGTGCTAGAGGCCGATTCTAGATTTTCAGTATGCTCAGGTTACTCTGGCTCATGAAGGTCTAGTTTAAAACCCATGAAGCTCCTGCTGAGAAGAGTCTCTGATGCATTGTAAATTCAAGCGTGTGAATATAAACACTAGAGAATATGCAACTTGTTACATTAAAAATTGAAACTTGTTATATTAAAAAATTAAATCAGGGCCAGGCACAGTGGTTCATGTCTATAATTCCAGCACTGTGGGAAGATGAGGCAGGAGGATCACTTGAGGCCAGAAGTTCGAAACTAGCCTGGGCAACATAGTGAGACCCTGTCTTAAAAAAAAAAAAGTTCAATCAGCCCCCAATTCACAAATATTTCAGTCATAAGTGCTTAACAATTTACTTTAAGAGGATACTTTCCAGAAATCAGACCTAAAAGCTGGATACCTGGAATTGAAAGAGAAGAGACCAGTCATACTGCTGCTAATGACAGGGAAAGGAGGAATCAGTTTGTGGCACAAAGAGTGCGATCAAGCAGGAAGCTAAGCTGAGGGGTTTAGATGGGAAATAAGGGGAGAGTGAATTCATGCCAGGCCCTAAGACCTGGAGCTCACAAGACAGAGACGACCCTATTGCGAGGGGGGGTGGGTGCGGAAATTAGGGGACAGCCGCAGAACTGCAGCCCCAAGGGGGAGAAAGGTGATTATCTAGCTCCAGAGAAAAGGACAAAAGAAGGATGTTTCACTGGAATCACTAAAACTAAAGCTAATGAGAAAAGTCTTTGTTGCTATGTAAGCCTAAGAATATTTGCTAGCAGTAATTGATAAATATTGCTAGGTAATTGGCTAAAATCCAGTCTGAATAGAGAGAAAATATGATTACAGTTGCTGTATTTGTATCTAACGATGATTGTATCATGATCAGCTTATGCAGAAGGCTGTACAAGCTAGGTCAGTGTCTGTCTCACAACCTCTAAAGGAAGCTGGGGATTAGTGAAAGTGACCTGGACCAATAAACCATAACCATTCTCATGAGCATATGAGAGGTGAAGCCCTTGTGAGCCGACGGTGGTGAGCCATGCTCTACTAACCACTCAGAGGAGGGATTAGCTGTTCAAGTCAAGGCTGTCGCTTATCAGGGGGCTTTGCAAGCTTAAAGCACAGCAGAAATACTTAACTTTTACCTTACTGAGTCAGCTTAACTAAAGAAAAATTTTATTCAAAAAATTGCTGTCAAGACTCCTGAAGATTAAAATGATATTTAAGGAACCACAGTCCTAAGCTTATGCCTATTCAGTTACTTAAGTGAGGAACTAAAGAGCTCATGGAGAAATGGAAAATGCTCCAAAAAAGTAAAAGTTAATTTTGATCACAATACACAAATCTGAAATATTTATCCTGGCAAGTCTACATGCAAAAATCAGGGAATGAATAAATAATAAACTATACCCATTATGGCGGTTTATAAAGAATTATAAGAAATGTTTACAGTCTGCTAGGCAAATATAACCCTTGTTGCTATTACTATTAAATAAGGGGTAAACAAATCATATCTTTCAGACTGCCACACAAGAGAGTTTTATTTATTTATTTTTTTGAGACACAGTCTCACTCCACAGTACAGGCTAGAGTGCAATGGTGTGATCTTGGCTCACTGCAACCTCTGCCTCCTGGGCTCAAGTGATTCTCCCCTCAGCCTCCCAAGTAGCTGGGATTACAGGCATGTGCCACCATGCTGGGCTAATTTTTTAATTTTTAATAGAGATGGAGTTTTGCCATGTTGTCCAGGCTGGTCTCGAACTCATGGCCTCCAGTGATCTACCAGCCTTGGCCTCCCAAAGTGCTGAGATTACAGGCATGAGCCAGTGCACCTGGCCAGAGATACTGACTTTTAAGTTATTTTTTAAAATTTGGCTGGGCATAGCGGCTCATACCTGTAATCCCAGCACTTTGGGAGGCCGAGGTGGGTGGATCACTGGAGGCCAAAGTTTGAGACCAGTCTGGCCAGCATGGCGAAACCCCATCTCTACTAAAAATACAAAACTTAGCCAGGCGTGGTGGCATGCACCTGTAATCCCAGCTACCTGGGGGGCTGAGGCATGAGAATCACTTGAGCCTGAGAAGGGCAGGTTGCCACTGCACTCCAGGCTGAGTGACACAGTGAGATTCTGTCTCAAAATAAATAAGTAAGTAAATAAGCCAACGTACTAACTGCATTGTTTAGAAAATTGTGTTGCAGTTGGCATTAGACTCACTTCAATTTTATATCCCAGTTATTATCTTAAAGGACAAAGTGTAAAATTATATATATTTGATACAGTCAGCAAACTGTAAATAAAGAGACTGAAAGGAAAAAGATTACAAATACAAAAGAGACTATTTGTCAAAAAAATACATATATTTATATATATATATTCAGTCCTCATAGAGACTGCCAAAAATTGCCAATGCCGACTGTATTTCAAGTCGTCATAGCAGGGTATCGGGAAAAGTTTTCAATAGCAATAATCACGCTTCAGATAAACCTCATTATCTACAATACTGCCACTGCTCAAAGCTGTAAAAAAAAATTTACATTGGGAAAAAACTCAGTACTCAAACATATTGAAGTTGTATCGAAATAACTGGAAAATGAAGATATTAAATCATAATTACTATAATCTCCTCCACCAAATTATTTTAACTTTTGGGAATGAAGCTTAAACTTGCAACACAACTCTTAACAGCAATAAATCCCATAAATGGTTAATCTTATTTTCAGTTGTATAAGAAAAAAAAGTGTGTCTGAGAACAGGGGAGGGAGATTTTTTCCTTCTTTGAAAACATGCTGCTTCACTTACATAGCCCCTCAGTTTGAGGATGTGTGCCACTCAAAGTGGAAAACAGAGGGATTTATTTCTGAAGAAAAACTAAAACAGCCGAAAAGAAAATTTAGGAAATAAAAACATACATACAATATAAAATACATTTTTAAAAAATCATTGCAAATGAAAACATTCCTAAAGAATGTTTTGTATTAATAACAAAGATAAGAAAGTATGTTCTCTTTCAGAAAACTGCCACAAACAAAACATCACCAAATAAGAGCCAATAACAACAATATAGATAGGTTTTTTCCCTTAATTGATACATAACATTTTACATACTTGTGGGGGTACATTTGATACTTTGTTACATGTACAAAATGTGTGCTGATCAAGTCTCTAAGGTATCTATCTCATCACTTTGAGTATTTGATATTTCTGTGTTGGAAAGAATTTAAGTCCTCTCTTTTAGCTACTTTGAAATACACAATACTACTTTGACTCTTTGTTCCTGGTGAAGTTAAGGAATCAAAGCCTGCAGTGGTGTCATCACAGCACATTGCAGCCTCAAACTCCTGGGCTCAAGTGATCCTCCTGCCTGAGCCTCCTAAGTAGCTAAGACTACAGGTGCACATCACCACACCTGGGCTAATTTTAAATTTTTTTTGGTAGAGATGCGGTCTTTATGCTCCCCAGGCAGGCTGGTCTCAAACTCCTGGTCTTAAGCAATCTTCCTCTCTCAATTTCCCAAAGTGCTGGGATTATAGGCTGGCTTCAGACCATACTGTTTCAGATATTTTCACTTAGTATCACTGAGACTAGATATGCCAAAGATTTATTATTTTTATTTATTTATTTATTTAAGACAGAGTCTTGCTCTGTTTGCCCAGGTGGGAGTGCAGTGGTACAATCCTGGCTCACTGCAACCTCTGCCTCCTGGGTTCAAGTGATTCAGCCTCCCGAAGAGCTGGGATTACAGACACAAACCACCACACCTGGCTAATTTTTGTATTTTTAGTAAAGACAAGGTTTTGCCATGTTGCCCAGGATGATCTTGAACTCCCAGACTTTAGGTGATTTGCCTGCTTCAGCCTCCCAAAGTGCTGGGATTACAGAATGTGAACCACTACGCCTGGCCTAGAAATGCTGAAGATTTTTGAATTTTTCAAAAAATAAATATGGAAGACTAAGGAAAAACTCCACAATGTTTCTTGAAATAAACATATTAATCACACTAAAGCTATTACTCCAATTCACTTTAATTTATGAGATACTCGCACACATGCTGCTCTTTCACTTATTTAGTACTCATTAAGGTATTCTAAAGTCTACAAAACAGGATTACAATGACTTTCCCATAGTCCCACATGATGTAAGTTACAGAGTTGAGGCTTGAACACAGCCTCCTAATGGTTGACTCAAGAATCTTTTGATTCTTTCAATCAATAGATGAAGCTGGATTGGTATTATGGTATCCACAAAACCCCTTAGATCCATTTAACTCCAGGATGGGACTGATATATTTAACAAATTTAAAAACCAAATATGGTTCATTATAAGGCAGCAATTCAAACCTTGTTAGCATACTAACTGTTATTTAATTAAGGGCAATCTGAATGAAAATCCCAATGGGGTTCTTCTCAGAGTTTGACAATATGATTGTAAGCTTCAGCTAAATTATCTAAGAAAATTTTGAAAACTCAGAACCATCAGAAAGGCTGGCGTTGGCATCATCAGACATTAAATGAATGTCTCAAACATCAGAATGCTACAACTGGCCCAGAAGAACAAGAAGAAATTAGAAAAAAATCCACAAAACAGACTAAAATGTATATAAGGTGAAACTGGCATTTCAAATCATTGAGGAAAGTAAACATTTCTCAACAAATTATGCTAGAATGATTTTGTTGGGAAAAAAAATACACCATTAGGTATAAGTTGAGAGGAGTGTACAAAAAGATAAAACAAATTAGCTTTCCAGAGTCACCAATGATTCCATATAGATTAATAATTCCAACAGATTAATTAAGGGTACTCTTAGAGTACCCTTCTTGCAGCCCAGGAAGTAAAAATTGCATTGCTGGAAGATCCTTTGTCCCAGTGCTAATTTTTCTTTGTGACACTGAACATCTATGTCCACAAACTGGTGACACAGATGGGACACATTCCCCTCCAGAGTGGTCTTCAGCCAACACCCACCAGGTACGAGGAATAAATCAACCTGGTCTTTCAGTAATGCTGGGGGGACAAAAGGCTTCAAGCTTTGGTCAAAATTCTAAAGGTTAAGTACGTGTAAGTGTGCATGCGAGAGAGCAGTATGAGTGGTTTTTCTCTGCAACATCTGTAATCGTTTCATACAGCCTCTGAGCAAAACAAAAGTAAAGAGATGAGTGAGAGAGACCTCTGAAAGGACAAGGGGGATAGTTAGAATCCTCCCCTGGAGAAAGGAAAAAGGTAGCCAAGAAGGCTCCAGAGGAGCCCCTAAGGGGCCTTTACTGCTGGTGCTGCTGGTCTTCTACCCTGCTGGCGCAGGTACCGCGCCTGTCTGCCCGGCAAGGTTCTGGGCATCCAACCTCGGACCATCTTGCTGCTGAGAGGGCTGCAGGGGTGCCTGTGGCTGGGTCAGCCACCCGTTGGGGTGGGGCCCAGGGAGGCGAAGGTCACAGGTGCACAGGGGCCAGGCTGCTCTAAGTGGCAGTGCACCTGCCAACGGCAGGGCCGGGAGGAAGGAAGCAGTGCAGGTGGCATCGGAAGTAGCAAGTGGCCTGTGTGGGGATGGCAGTGGCGGAGGTTGCCTGCAAGGACACTGGCTGTGGCAAGGGGTGCCACAGCGAGGGGCTCTGCAGAGGCGTCAGTGGGAGAGGCTGGAAAGCAGCAGCAGCAGCAGCAGCAGCAGCAGCAGCAGGACAGTCTGAGGTTGGACGCCGGGAACCTTGCAGGGCAGACAGGCGCCGCACCTGCGCCAGCAGGGCAGAAGACCAGCAGCACCGGCAGCAACCACAAAAGCCCAAGGCAAGTCTCGCTCAGGCCAGTGAAATGTTAGAAATCAGAAAGAAAAGTATGTAAAAAGATAGTAAAAGAAAATGCGTGTGAAAGAGAGAGAGACAGAAAGTAAAACTAACGAAAGAAATAGTGTAAAAAGAAAACAGAAACTTTTAAAGACTCAGGCAGAACAACTAAGCCAAAACATGTTTTAAAAAAGTTTAAAAAGGAAAATTATAAAGTAAAAGAAGAGGGAATTGTAGGAAGTAGAAAAGTTCCTTTTTAAAGTTCCCTTTCTTGTTAAAGAAAAAGTGTGCTAGTAGCTCTTTGTTAAGCCCTATTCTATGTAGCTGTTAAACATACTATGCCTACAGGCATGTAGTACATTCTCTGTTATTGTACTTTAACCAAAATATCTGTGGTTGGATGTGCTCACAGACCTGTCCCAGCTCTCCATTGCTTTTACCTGTTTAGAAAAGTTTTAAATTATTAGCCAATCAGGTTTTAGTTTAAATTGTGAGGTCTGGCTCCAGCCAACGGAGCTGACACAACACAGAACAAGACTCTGTCTCTAAATAAATAAAAATAAATAATAATACTCAGATACAAAATGAATATTTATAATCATAGGATATATTGATATTCATAGAATATGAAGGATCACTAGTAAAATTTTTTTTTTTTTTTTTTTTTTTTGAGACGGAGTTTCGCTCTTGTTACCCAGGCTGGAGTGCAATGGCGCCATCTCGGCTCACCGCAACCTCCGCCTCCTGGGTTCAGGCAATTCTCCTGCCTCAGCCTCCTGAGTAGCTGGGATTACAGGCACACGCCACCATGCCCAGCTAATTTTTTGTATTTTTAGTAGAGACAGGGTTTCACCATGTTGACCAGGATGGTCTCGATCTCTTGACCTTGTGATCCACCTGCCTTGGCCTCCCAAAGTGCTGGGATTACAGGCTTGAGCCACCATGCCCGGCCATAAAATTAATGTCAAAGGTAAAAAGTCAAAAAAGAAAAAAGCTGATAGATCTTACCATGTAAAAATTGAAAAAACTATAAAACATTGGTGAAAGAAATTGAAGAGGATATCAAAAAATGGAAATATATTCCATGCATGGATTAGAAGAATCAATATTGTTAAAATGTCCATACTACCCAAAGCAATCTACAGATTAAAGGCAATCCCTATCAAAATACCAATCACTTTCTTCACAAAAATAGAAAAAAAAAATCCTAAGTATATATGGAACCACAAAAGACCCAGAATAGCCAAAGCTAATCTAAGCAGAAAGAATAAAACTGGAGGAATCACATTACCTGACTTCAAATTATACTACAGAGCAGCTGGGTGTGTTAGCTCACACCTGTAATCCCAGCACTTTGGGAGGCTTAGGTGGATGGATCACTTGAGGTCAGGAGTTTGAGGCCAGCCTGGCCAACATGGTGAAACCCTGTCTCTACTAAAAAATACAAAAATCAGCGGGTGTGGTAGCAGCATGCCTATAATCCCAGCTATTAGGGAGCACAGGAGAATCGCTTGAACCCAGGAGGTGGAGGCTGCAGTGAGCCAAGACTGTGATACTGCACTCCAGCCTGGACAATAGATCAAGACTCCAACTCAAAAAAGAAAAAAAGGTCTTAAAAAATTATACTACAGAGCTACAGTAACCAAAATAGCAGGGAACTCATTTTCGCTAAAGGTGCCAAGAACATACACTGGGGAAAAGACAGTCTCTTCTGAGAAAACTGGATATCCATATGCAGATGAACAAA